TGGCGCCCCCGTGCTGTTGCCCCCCCCCCCCCCCCCCGACCCCTCAGCCAAAATACGCCCTGGATACAGTGTTGGGTAATCCTATTCTAAGTTTATTTCTTTACCTCTTCGTCCCTTCCACATTTGCAGATGTTTACTTCTTCTTATAGAAGAAGTATACATCTACAAGAAGATCTTCGATCACTTCTATAATAGTCACGCATCCGTTGTGAGAATATTAGCTGATTTAGCAGGGAAAATGGGAAGAGGGCTGTACATTATTATTATTATTATTATTATTATTATTATTATTATTATAGAATTCAAAGGATGACGGTGGATATAGCTAACATCGACGTTGAATATCACATATTCAAGCTCTTTGCCCAATTTGAAGTTTCAATGTTGAAGGTTCCAATGTAGCATGTTCTTTAAATCAATGATTGGAGATTCCCAGTGTCCTCACAGATGAGGAGGAACACCGACGTTAATGCAACGTAATTGAGGATTTATTAATCTTGCATACGTTCTGCCAGGAAGGGGTAAAGCAAAGGCGAGGATGAAAAAAATTACGGAAAAAAAGGTTAGGTCCTTCAATTCCTTCAATAGAGAGGATTTCCTTCTCTTGTTGTCTTGAACTCGCAGGAAAATAGGTCATGCCTAGCAAATCAATCAGACATGGAACTTTCATGCAGTGATGCCTGTCCTGAGGTTCCCCCCTGAAGAGTCTCTTACTAGAGAGAATCCGCCCAAAAAAGAAAGAGAAGAAAAAAAACATGACAGAAACTCTCACCTACCGTACATGCTCTAAAAAAATACTAGATAAGAGGAAAGTAGCTACTGCTTTCAAAACTCACGTGTCGAGAGTGAATTTTGCTGAGAAGGAACGGAAGGAAGCTCTCATCTCGTTCTGTCAGGGTGAGATTATGAGTAAAATCTGCAGTGGATTGACTATCTTGGTAACAAGAAATGTCCTTCGAAATAAGCTTCTCCGACCGATGTGGAGATGGGAGGTGGCACTGGTATGCAATAGCAATCTTTTTCAATATTGAGGCAAAGTGGTCCCCCAATCCTCCACCGTCCAACATAAGCCTTCATTATTGAGACGAGCTGCATCTGGACGGTACACATGCATCTCTCACGCTTTTCTGCCTGTGCTCTTCTACACTGGGTATGTAGAGTGAGAGACGGCAATGGTTCTTGCCGCGTCGGCAAAAGCACTGGCACAAACACACACGCACACACAGAGTAGTGTGCATATTATTTCATATAAATGGAACAAACCATTTATATGGTCATGGGATACCCCACAAATTTGGTATCCCATGTAGAAACATTCACTCGCTAAAAAAAAGTAATTTGCTAAGTTAACCTAAGAGAAGCTTCTCCCTTTACATGCCTTCTATAAAAGTCATATTGGGAAGAAGTCTACTGCACAAGTGTAAGTAAATGCAGACCAGAGAATGATACAAGATATAATAAAATGCCTGCAGTAACAATAATGGGAAATAAATGTCAACACAAAAAAGAGGGAATGGATATGATGGGAGCGCTGGAAAAATCAAGACAAAAATGACAATAGCGAAGCTTGAAAACGTTAAGAAAATGTGAAGAGGAAGGAGATAGACACTAAAAGCAGAATGGTGGGAACAAGAAGGGAGAAAATACAACTGGGAAGGAGATGGGTATGGAGGGGAGGGGTATGGAGATTGAGATAAAGAGCGGCAAAAAATAGATGAGCTGGTAAAGATAAGAACAGATCAAGGTCACGTGCTGAGAGAGCTACGACGCGGTATGATGAATGCTTTTATGTAGGCAATTTTTTTTTCTCAGCGGCCCTAGCAAATATGGGCTATCTCACTTGACTGCGACGATGGGGAGTTTCATGCTAGCTGTTGAAGAGAGAATTGCCATTTGAATGGCGCTCACTACGTTGAGCATGTTTGAAGTCAACATAAGGGAGACGTCGAGGGCTCAGACAAGAAAAATTCATCTGTATTCTTACCTTTTGATCGCCATATAGTTCATAAGAAATAAGATATATTACATTATTAGAAAGACGAGACAGGAATAGTCTGATTGTTGACTAGAAACTGAGGAAGAAAAGGACGATGGAGAAAAGGCATGCAAGTGAGTAGGGCTAAGGGGAGGGGGTGAGAGGAATTTCTTTAGGGGTAAAGGCTCAGAAGAATGTCAAAAGGGTTTCTGTCTGGAACGAACTAAGTCATCCTTTAAGTTCGCAGGAAGTTTAGAAGCAGTGCTAGAGAGAAATACTTGAGGTAGAGGGCTACGCTGAGATGCGAAGAAAAGGCGTTTTATCAGGCCGTGGACGTGAGAAAAAAAAAGGGGTACTGTGGAGGGTGAGGGTACCGTGAGATAAAGGCATGGTTCGGGATTTTCTGCTGGGATATTGAGTTTCAAGTCACAGCGACTTTTATGGGACGCCTTCGGAAGGCATTGGTTAACGGCCTGGATGAGAAGCCGCAGGAAAGAATGACAATGTTGGGTTCTCTGGGTCGGCAGAAGGTATAATTGTCAGAACATTGTCCTTATCAAGCGCACAGCTAGGCCAAAGGGGATGGATAATTTCAGTTAGTGGGTATGACAACAAGAGAAAATAAAATAAAAATGAGCCTTGGAAGGCCGCGTGTAGAGATTTTCACTTGAGTTTGGCTTTGCCCATTGAGATAGAAACATCTAAAAAGTTCACTGAGGTATCGGAAAATGTGTAGGAAAATATGATGATGTGGAGGGAATTAAGATCATGCATGGCAGAAGGTTTTCCCGACTTCTGTCATAGATTATGGAAAAGTATTCAAATACACAGCGACACCAACGATAATTACACGTTAACTACACAAGGGCAGGGGGGAGGAGGAGTTGAGGAGTACTGTTCACTGAAGCACCTACTATCTGAAGTGTGCCCTTGATCCATGACTGTTTTGAGAGGGAATTTTAAAAAAGGCACTTTTCAATCAAGACATAACAACGAGAAGCACTTGTCACCTTCCCATCCTTCGGGAGGTGACAAGCTTGAACACAGGGGCTTACTGATCACTTGCTCTTGACCTGCCAGAGTTATGGAACGTCCCGCCCTCCTTTCCCTGTTTCAAGTGAAAATGTTTCCTAGTGTTGAGCTATGTGGGAACTGGGAAATTTCTCCCTACTGCATATTTTACGGAAGATCACGGCATGTGAAACAGGACTTTGCATATGATGCCAAATTCAAATGGTCTAATGGCTTTTGGCCCAATGACCAATTAACGTAGGGAATGGCAATATTCTGAGGGTTCGCTCCCGTCACGAAGAGTGTGACGTATCTGTCCCTTTTCCTGCCTGGATGTGTTAGTGTGACAGGGGCGAGGGGGACTGGAGGAATAAAATGAAATAGGAGGAAAGTGGAGGAAGAGGGATCGGGATGTATGAAACGTGCCAGTCCCCGTTTCCATGCTTTGACAACCACTGCCTAGTTGGAGTCACAACAGAACACGGATGCCGAAGCTCAAGCTATTCTCTTTCCCATCGTTCCCCGCGGCAATTCCCTCCGGTCACCAACAGTGACCACTGACCATACGAGTCAGAGTCAGAACTCTTCTTCGATTCACAGTAGAAAAATGGTCCCAGTATTCCCACTTCCACTGTAGTCTTCCCCTTCACACTCCACCTTTTCGGCACTCTGAAGCGATGACGGAATTCGGGCAACCATGGATATACGTGGAAGCAAAATTATCCCGGCCTGCGACGTGTCAGCAAATTGAAGAACAAGCGAACGTAGTCATGTTGAATGTCGTCCTGCCATTCTCTTCTCTCGGTTCCCGGGAACAATGGGCATTTCCTATTGTTCGTAGCACGTATTCGATGCACGAATCGAATATATTCCATATCACTTCCGATAATTGCGTTGACAGAAAAGGGGCTCTTTTAAGTTCATCGAATGTTTCTGTACGGGAAACTGTTTCCCCTTTTCGTTTTAAAGTGACGTCAGAGAAGAGCCAAAGATGGGACCGTATATCTACGATTCGACTTGGTCCGACAATATAGAAACAGATGCACTCTCGCACTCGATCTGTGCTAAGAAATGCTTCCTCTCCCGAAACGCCCCCATCCAATTGTTAACAGCTTGTCACGCAGTCTCTTATAGAACTTTCAAGAAAAGTTGAAAAACAGCATAAACTCGTAAAAGGCCAATAGCCTGATACAAAAGAAACGACAGTCCATGCTATTTCTTTTTCTTCGAATTGTTTGAGTGCCATGATTCAAACTCAAACTCATCGTTCATTGGGTAGGGGTAGGGTATCATGAGACATTGTTGCTTTTATTCACTCGCGTAATCGAGTGTGTCTGGTATCTTGTTTGAAAATTTCCCGATTCCATGTATAATGAGGCGATTCTATTTCCCATATAAAAGAACGTTTTTTTTTTTTGGACTCGAGGGTTGGTGTTGATCTAGCATATCCGCTGTAGTGCATCCTGATTCCTGGAAGTGGAAGTATAGGCGACGTATAGCGGTGATGGGAAGTGGTGCGTCCTCTGGATGTGACGCGGAGTTCCCGTCGAGTGAGGAAGTGTGGTTGCTTTTGATAAGCACAGCTGGCTCATGCTAAGCTTCCGTCTTCCTCTTTCCCTTCCCGATAACACCAATCTGTCAATGCCCATCCAATAGGATATATAAGACGCCCTCCCCCACCCCATCCTATGTTGGACTCGATTCGCCAGACTCATTGGAGGATGCGAAGTGGGGAGAAGAAAGGAACGGGGTAAGATTCACGTCATGCGAGCGTCAGATGTGAATCACACTTGGGGATTACCTCCAGTCCTTGGGAAACATGATCCTCTGACGTCAGATTCGGCAGGAGTTACTTGGTAACGAGTTGTGAAGTTTCTCGCCACGCTTTGTTTATACAGTGGCCCTTAGGCCTTGCGACTATACCACGGAAGGGAATTCAGCGTCACCTCCTACCAGGGCCGGAAGTCGGGGGAAAAAAAGGCCTGGACAATATTGCCCCAGCAGCCCTCTCATCCTCGGATGTTTCTGTGGATGAGAGCCTGAGAATCGGAATTCGCATTACCGTTAGAAATGGTGGATGATTACACATCCCTTTTTCAATAGTAATTTGCAATGATCTCGTAGAGGACCTCAAAAAAAGATTGGCAAACAAAATAAATGTCCCATTTTAAAATGACTCTGAGAACTTTATCCTGAAAGTCGCCACAAAATTCACGGAGACACGATTCGATGTCCTTATTTCCCTCGTGAGATATTCCGCATCAATTTCTTGGTATAGTATCAATGAAAACAGGATCCACTAGATCGCGCACTAATTCTACAGCAATATAAATGCAAGACTCCATGGTTGAGAGCGGAAAAATTTCCTGTATTTGCAATGCTGACCTTTAAGATGGTTTTTTCATAATTGACAATGGAAAGTTTTGATACCTCAAACATAAGGCAATTCATCAAAGCAAACTCCCATGAAATACACTTCTAAAGCTTGTACAAAAGCACTGGCATGAATCTGGCCTTCAATATTCTTGGGGTAAAGGCAGAAGTAGTGCAATAACTTTTTTTTGCTTATTAATTCCTGGTGTGCCCAGAGGCTCTGGGAGAGAATAAGTTACACATTTGTTGAAGATTGTAAAGGAATCAAATGCTCGAAGAAGTACTATTAAGGGTATAAAACACTTGTACGGCATCCCATTCAATCCCTATAGGCTTCTAAATCTATCAGTCAAAACTCGTGTGGAGAAAGCACAAATGCCAAGTGCATATATAAGAGTGCAGCAATATGCCAGAAGTTGCCCTTTCCTGAATAGAAGCTCATCCAAGATAGTTTCCTGGAAAAGGAAACCCTGGGTTGGGAACTGTCAGATTGTCAGTTAGGGTATCCAACTCCAATCCCCCTCTTCCCGGAAAATTCTGCAAATAGGTGGACATCTTGTCGACCACTGTTAGAAATTTTTAAATGAGCCCAAGACGACAGAACTGTACAGTCATGAACTACTAGGGACAGAGTCCCTCAATTAAGATTAAATGGCTCATGATTTCGTTAGCAATGGTCACAGATGGGAGAGAGTGTGTGAACTGTGGGGCGATTTCTACGCCCCTCTGGAGGCGGGATAATACGGGCCATTACCTATGCAATGCCTGTGGCCTGTACAACAAGACGAACGGTGTGAACAGGCCATTGGTGAGACAACCGCGACGGATGGTAAGTGGAGACGGATGACCTCATCGCGTGATCGGTTGTTTCCTTTCAGTGGTGCAGACTGCTTCTCCTGGCGCTGCAGTTCCCGGTGGGGGGTATCTCTCCAATCAATACTCTCCTGCTGGACATGGTGGCGGGACTGGGAGGAGTTCCGCTTCTCATGCTGCTTCTGCTGCCGCTGCTGTTGCTGTCGCCGCCGCCGCTGCAGTGGCCGTCAACGGTTGCGGCAGCGGCTCCGGCCCTCTCATAGAATTTAGATCTGGCACCAAACGCCTGGTGGGTATCTTTTCCTCCGCTTACTGCTCCCTTGCATTTTCTGCATGCTTCTCCTCTATTCCCCCTCTTCCCCCTTCTGTCTCGCTCTCTGTCGTCCGTGCAGCATCCTGATGGAAACTTATTGTCCACTGCTATCCATATGTTCGTTGTGTCTTCTTCTCACGGAAAGGGACTGCAGGGAAGTCACACAAAAGTCGACTTCATTGGTATCGATTCGTACTTTTCTCATAAGCATGATCTGAGGATGAGGAGGCAGACCGTGATCTGAGAGTCTGATGCTGCAGCTGATAATATCCTGTATAATTTCAACTTCAATCCTTGCAATGACGTCACAAAAGAGCTTTGCTTACGCATATCGGACTGAGGGAACCATAACAAGATTATGTAAAGTGATGAGAAAGTGGAACCATTCCACCAGAGAAGCCGCCCACTCCTCTGAGTCACTCTTTGGCTGTCTTCTCTCATCCCTCTTCCTGGCAGCCTGGCTTCTTAGCCTTTTTTGTGCCAGGAGAGATAGAGTTACTAACTTGATTGTACTTCTCAATTGAACAATTCTGAAATTGATCGTCTGTTTAATTTCTGAAATGCACGCAGAACGCTATATTCCGCACCCTCAGAGCATGCTGAATGGCATTTCTCCAGTCCATGAGATGTCCATTTCCAAAGCGTTTAACCCACTCGTGAACAATTACCCTTAAAATCACCAAATACTTTAAAGCTGTGATGCACAACCTGCGGCCCCTTGGATGCCTCCGGTCTCTAAAAATCCATATTTATATGTGGCCTATTTCGACTCATATTCGAGAGCCTGCGGCCCTCGATCCCCTCGAACATGAGATGAAGTCTCAATTTGGCCCTCTAGGGGGAAAAGGTTGTGCACCACTGCCCTAAAGGATGTACAATATTCGCTGACTTATCGGTTGAACAGGAATTTCACGGCGATTCGATGCTTCGTATTACAATTCCCGCCAGTAGTTAGATGGTAAGAATTGCAATACGAATGGGACATGAAATCTTAATCTAAGAGGATATTAAAATAAAATGCTCTCTCTATCCGACTTCGAGAAACTTAGTCTGATTGAGAGCTTATTGATTCTAGTGGCCGGAATTTGATCCACAAGTGATGTCAAAGATTACGCTTGTTACTTTCGTCTTTTGTGAACTGCTTGAGAAAGAGTTATTGTGAATCTCTTCAAGCATAGTTTTGGAGAATTATTCGATGCATAACGGCTAAGGACTGTTAGCGGATCTTGCGTTAATTCTGCGATATAAGTGAGGTGCAACTGACATGGAGGTCATGTCCATTTGGTGTAACGTTCGTTACCTTAGACTGCTGCGCACTTCTGATTTTCCAATCTTTAAGTGACTGCTGCCTGATGTTTCATCTTCTATTTACTTATTTTGCATAAGTCATGCGCATTTTCATGGTGTGTATAACAAACAACTTTCACCTCTTGCTCTTGATGCCGTAGTATGGAAAGCCAATATTCACATTTCATTTATGGTAACGATTTTCGTTTTGGGAAGACTAAGTATAACCAAGAATGACCAGGAAAGAAAGTTGTGATGTCCCACATTTACGCCATGGTAGCAAAGGGAGAAACAAACGGTTATGATTATTTTTGCACGAGAGAAATGAATTTAACATCCAATAAATTCTCCATGGTACTCTTTGGTTTCCTAATTTCTCAATTCATTATGGTTGATAAATGTTCACTTCATTGCGTTTCTTTGAATTTAATTCAAGAGTTTATTTTGCAAATTTTTTCCTTCCTACTTTTGAGTGACTTCCCCCGTTTCCCTATGCACTTGTTTCATGCTGTTCGTAAGTACAGGGTGTAGCACTTGAAAAAAAGTACCTGAGTAGCTGACAGACTGCAACCTCCATGTTATACGAAATTACGTTGCTCGCGCACATGTTTAAATTTGCTTGTTAATTGTGTACTGAAGCCTTCACGTGAATGGACTCACTCAAAGAGCAGTAATGCAGCTATCCGGGAAAGGGTACACTCAAAGTGCTAGACCCTGTAATAGAGGACGATCGATGCTGAAAGGTGATGGAGTGAGTGCATTAGCGAATGATGACGCGACCGTCCTGGTCATCTGTACCCCATGACCCCATCCACGGAACGGAGCATTCGCAAACGCACTCACTAGCAATTGCTTAAGATTAGAAGAAGTTTTGTGGCTTTGGGAAAATAAAGGTAAAAGTGGATGCGAATCGTACGTTAGTCTTGGTTGATGTGGTGCATGTAGTCGGCAAGCCGGCGTCACGGGTTGACCTGTTCCAATTGCAACACGTCGACGACTTCCCTTTGGAGGCGAAATACTCTCGGAGAGCCTGTCTGCAATGCATGTGGACTCTATTACAAACTCCACGGTGTCCATCGACCCTTGGCCATGAAGAAGGACAGCATCCAGGTCGGCAACGATAGCTCTTCTGTTAATCCATGTGAGCAGCTCTCGATGATGTGCCTAAATGGAGGATTCTCCTTGTCCAATCCATATAGACTCGGAAGAGGAAACCACGTGGGAAGAACGATCAGGGTGAATCCAAATCGAGGACATCGTCCACGTCTTCTTCTTCGTCTCAGGAGAAATCGCCTCACGTTGGCCACCTTCCTAAAATGGGTATGTAAAATGTCTAACTACAGAGGTGTACGATTTATCCTCGAAATTTCATGAGCGTGACCTAATTGACACGGATGCAACAATGAAGAAAATAGGGCTGTTGATATTTTTGGTCCACCCTGTAAGAATTCTACTTTTCTGTCCATTTAGGTCGTATCACCTTTACAGAAATCTCTCGCTCCAAATGCTCTTCAATAACTAATGACAATACCTCACGAGACGACAGATAGATCCCCTCCCCCCTACACCCAGGCTCACAATCTTATTTTCAAATATTTATATTCAATAGATTAGTGGACTTTCTTTTGTTTGTTCTATTGTTCTAAAGTTTGACGCCTCTGCTCCTCCCAGTAATTGTTGGTTGAAATCAATGTATACCCCCCATTTCCTTTAGAAGCCCATGTTTACAATTACTGAGTTTCATCGATGTATCACCTTTTCCGCTTGAACAGAATTAGTAGTACATGATAAACCTTCAATATGTTCTGTTCAGTACATGCTAGTATTATCTTTCTAGCAAGACCACCATTAAGCTCTGGCGACAAAGGGTGCAAATGCCATCCTCTGCTGGTTCTTTTTTTTTCCCGCGCTGCTGTCTTCCATTCCATTTTTCTTTTAGTATGAGGCCGCTCGTGCTATGCGTAGAAAGCAGCTGCGCATTGAGATGTATATTTACATTTGCCAAAAATATCATTATTCCCTTCGTCATATCATAATAGGAATGTTGTCGGAGAGAGAACCACTTACGCCTGGATGTTGCTCTTTGTCCAGAATCGAGATTGGGGGGAACGTGCGAGAGGTCCTCATCCTCCTATCACGACGCTCTCGTAGATCCCAGTGGTGGTCATCATAATCACCATCATCCACATAAACAACACCTCCATCAGCAATCATCTTACGCTTCGGATCAGGGTGCAGGATTCTTTAACCGGCCCAATTTGGCGAAACAAGAGGAATTCTCTCACACTCTCCCCCACATCGTCGTCAGCACGATCTTCAATCCCAACGACAAGGAATCCGTCCCTGCCTGATTGTCTCTATCGAAACACAATCCACTCACGAGTTTGTACATATGTGCAGAAAACCGTACAAAAAAAAAGTATTAAGAAAAAAGGGAAACCATGTGCGAGAGTACAAAGTTCGTTGCCATTCTGAAAACGCAGAGACCTAGAATGTGGGTCTCTTGGAAATTTCGCCCCTCTCTTCAGGGCATTTTGATCCCATGCGATTAATGATGTAGAGTCCATGCAAGACTTGGTCAGGATTATTTGCACCTGTTCAAGGATGGAGCCTTCTTTTTATACGTTCCATAATTTGTCTTCTCTTTAATCGAATTTGACTTCTTTTTTTTTTTAAGACCAGTCCAGAGTGTCAGGAGAGAAAAAGTTTGTGTGTGGCTATGTTATTATTTGGCATAGGCCAGTGCCAAAAGGATGGGTGTCCATTTGATAGTCAAGAACGTTATGGATATTGTCGTGTTAGAGAGAGAGAAAGAAAGAGCGGCAAATCCAGTTTTTTCTTTTTCAACCACTTGAGAGCATGACCCTTGCAGTGGGGCTACAGCTCAAGCTTGAGTGTTACTAGTCTCCATAGATGGCATGGTCCTAATTGAATTCATGCTCAACTCTTTGCATTCTCCTCTCTGATTCTAATTGTATGAACACCCGTTTCATTTTTTCTTTTCCCCTTCATCAACGATTTTGCAAAGACCTCAGGGGTCTTCTGTCCTTTCCCCTTTCTCTCTGGGTGTGTGCGCGCGCGCGTATGCTTATGTTCATTGTTGCTATGTTTGTTGTTGTTGCTACTGCTGCTCTTTCACGGCTGGGATCATTCCCAGCACCATACAGCAGAGATAAGCCAAATACGAGAATGTAATATATGACATTCATCCTTTTTTTTAAGCCGAAGGTTGTGATATGATGTGGAAAGTGAGATTGAGAATCCAGCATTCCAATGCAAGGGCTGAATTCCTCGGTGCTACCGCCATGTACATAACGTCTATTCTTGTATCTTCCCTTCTTTGTATCTTACGCTATTCAAGCCAAGGCGCATATACTCAAGAATTTAGAGAGAGGGAATGTCGTCGTCTCGTTTTTTAAATTTTAAATCAGGATATGGAGTACTTGAGCCAAGGTGGCGTGTAAATGTGATGAAATGTGTCTGGATATGCCTTGTTTTCCGCTCTATCATTCTTTCTTCAAGTCGTACTCAAATAGAAACAAAATGTGTCTCTTGTTCATACTTTCAGAAATTGTTTACATTGGGGAGAAGCATGAATAAAAGGAATGAGGAGGCGCAAGAGTGGTGTTCCTCTGAGACAAACGCACTCATACACCCACAATTCCTTGAAAGGGGGATCATTTACAGACGATGATTTGAAAGGATGCTGCGAGAGATGAATCCTGGACACGTTATGGGATGTTTCCCATGACAGTTCTGGTCTTGTCTTCGCCTGTGACAATGCAGATCAGTGAAGTTAGGATGCACCAATCAATGACAAAGCCAACGACCTCTTGACTAGAACTTATTTCTCACCCTCGGAACTCCATACATTTCACAAGCAGGATTTTCTTATTCTGATTTTCAATGAATCGTGTAGAACTGTGATTTCAATGGATAGCACGAAAGCATGGAATGACCCTGAGAATAAGTGATATGCTCAGGAAAGCACAGTATGAATTCGTAGCGCATAAGGCTGCTGATCGCATGCAGTAACACTGGTTTTTGACAAGAGAAGATTTCGGACTTTTTCTGAATGTAAGCACTTTCATGACTATTGGCCCGAGACCTTGAATAAGCTTTTCAGACATTTCCCTCAACAAGCTACATTCCTTTCCCAGGCAAGCCAATCTTTTTAAATATGTTGTCGACACTTGTACTAGATCACCTGGTAATTGACAGGATATGAAATGGTAGGAACCTTCCAACCTGAGCGCTCGCTCCTGTCAAAAGTTCCCTAGTTAACATTTTCCTATCGAAGTTCAAACTGGTCTTATCACGCTTAGGTAATTCGTCAAGAACAACACCAATAGTTAATATTTTAATAAAAAAAAACTCAATCAAGCGTCCTTTATGTACTCGTGTCCTCGTGTATCTGCGGTCTTGCCTGATTGGGCCCGATACATTACGATACAGTACAATAGGATGAGTTGGCAGGCGCATGAGGTGGTCCAGGAACGAGGCTTCACTAAGCAATTTCGCCTAACCCATCGAACAGAGGGGATACACACAGAGGAAATACACGGTGTTCACATTTTCCCGCTCGTCAATTAGCCAATCTCTGTGCGAGATCAATGGCGAAAACGGCTCAACTCCAGGGTCTAAAACTGTTCAGGGGACCCGTGACTCCCGATATCAACAAGAATGCCATGAGTTTGAAGAATATGATGTCGACTAAAAGATAAAAATCCTCTCGCTGATGAGAAAGACTTTACGCTTAAGGTATCGATCAACACCCAGAACAATCGTGTGAATGGAAAGGGAAAGAAAAGGATGTGGATGCAAATAGGTTTCAACATCGCTAGTCTCGGTTCCCCAAAGGTTATCGTTAGCTGGCACGGGAAAATGGACATCAATCCACAACGAACGAAAGTGAATTCCGGGTTTCACGTGCAATTTCTGGAAGCGATCTTCTTCTGTCTTGCCATCTTTTCAACCAGGATGGAGGTTTACACCTTAGTTTGGGGTGGTGCTCCTTCACATTACAGTCACCAAATCAACATCTTCCTTCTAAGCAAGACGTGAATGTTCGCAAGGTGCACGGAATGAGCACCCAACTCCCCGGGCTATAACTCGCTGGACCGCTCGGTTTGGTCGATCCTCTCGGTAAAAGCACCGGTATCGAGGTGGAAGCGAGAAATTAGCATCCTTACAAGCGCAGCAGAACGCCATCCGAGATGCTTGAGAGGTGTCTATTGACGCCATTCAAAAAGGATTCTTCAATAGCACCGCATCTCAATGCCGTCGTCCTGGCGGAAGGAGGGTCCATCCAAGCATCAATTTCGGTGAGGTGAGTCTCCTTGGTCAAGTGGGGATTTCTAAATATTTTTACTCGCAAACTTCAAAGTGCATGTGTGGCTAAACAAGCAGAGAAAATTCCGTAGAAGAGAAACTACGTTAAGAGACAAGACGTAGAACCATACATGTTGGGACCTACGTAGCTGTAGCTAAGACCAATTCTCAAATAAAAAATATTCGAAAAGCGGCGCGTTTTTTCTCCGCATCCGGCGTTTTCTGGGTATTTCTCTCAAAATCACTCGCAATGGAGGATGACAGAATCATTTTCGGTAAATACACAGCAATAGGGATATATACAATAGTCACACATTGGCTAGATTTGATGAACTTCAGCTGATAGTAAATAGTACCTCACAAACTGACAACTCTGTCGGGCCATGTGAACTTGAACACTCCTATTTCTCGGCCACAATTCTGGGGATAAAGTCACGCAAGGGAGAGAAATCTGGAGGGACAAATTCATCTCAATTTCGTAGCGTAATGCTACTTGGAAATGTAAGCAAAAGGCCAACAGTAAACATTTAGAGATAAAATATCGTTCATCATCCAACTAACTTCCCCATTTCCCCATTCTTCTTTGCCCTTCCCCATACAGGGTGGACAGAAAGTCCCTAAGAAGTTTCATGACTCATGATCCTGGGAACGAGGTGGCGTAGAAATATACGATATGCATAATATGAAAGTTTATTACGTAAATATTTATATAGCACACCAAATCATAAATTTCACACTTTCACATGTTCGCCATCTTTGTCAAAACATGCATGCAACCTTCTAGCGAACATATCCAGAACGGCCTCCAATTGGGCAGGTGTGATGTTCCTGACTGCTCTTCCAATGCGTGTGCGCAATTCAGCCACGCTTCGTGTGCGGGTGGCATACACAATGTTCGTAACATGTCCCCAGACCTGACCCTTATGAAATTTTTTCATTCAAATTCATAAAAAAAAGCGGGGGGGGGGCCCTGAATCCGGCCCTGGTTTCATATGATGCATATCAAATACTTCTACGACACCCCGTTCCCAAGATATATGGGCATGAAACCATTCAGGGACTTTCTGTCCTGTACAGTATAGTCATAGTGGCAGCTACACCTGCTATATCCTTTGGAAACCATTATGCCCCAACTAGTATCTTCAAATGTAATCTGGAAAAAAATAACTGCAAAATTCATAGATCCATATATTACAACAGGCATGGGCACCAACAACCATGAAAGCATCAAACAGGTCTTCTTCACAGAGCAATCAAATAAATTCATCCCCTGAGTTTGTCAGGACAGACAGAAACTTATATATCAATGATAACAAACACCTCATGCTGCCCTTCATTGTCATACACTTGCATGTTTGAGTAGGTGATGGCCTTCACTTCGCTGCCCTGAGGATGCTTTGAGATGTCAAATGTCTCCCCAAACCCTCTTGCTTTGATACGGAAGTTTTCTTTGTCAAACTGCAGAATTTTCACCTTCTGCAAGGAAACATTGTAGATCCACTTACATATTCAAACCTCCACATGGATGTTCTCCAGATGCCTCAAGTTGATATCACATGGACAATTTAGTTTCAAGGCATACATAGACTTACTCTTGCAATGAAGAAGGGCTCAGCACTGAAGACAAAAAGCCATTCATCAAGGAAGTGAAAGAGGAGGGAGAGCATGTCATGTCCTTCTGCTTCTATGTCTTGAATATCACAGATCTCCACTGTGTCGATTTCGGTCATATAGCCAAACATGGCAGTTGCACATTGCTCAAATGCCTCAGCCAGGTTCTCACCCCATCCATGAAGCCTGAAGAATACAGTATGAACTTATGTAAATCCTAACTAACATGCACAAGCATATACCCATGTTTATTAAAACTGGGACATTAGGATAGTCCATGAAAGATTTTCACAGTGGCTTCTACAGGGAATTAGTGAAGGCTGGCTTCTGTCAAAATGCAAATAAGTCTGCCCCCTTTCCTGGTAGATCAGGGATCGGGAGCCTTTTTGGCCATATAAGCCATATTAAGATTGAGCTAAGTGCTTGTGAGTGAAAGATTTTCAGAACAAAATAATTTGTCTGAAGTTGGCAACAGACAAATGCATTCTTTGATACAGAAAAAAATGAGGAACAACCATGATTTTCAGCCATGACTCAATGAGTGAAACTTTTCAGCTCATGAGCCATAGTTTCCCAACCCCTGTTGCAAATGCTTAAATGGAAACTTAGAATGGAATTTCAAAAGGTCCCTGCCTTGTTTTTCCTTTTTTTGAGAATGAGGATAGCTGATGAAGCATGATTTGACCTACTCGATGGGAATTTTATCATCTGACTAGGCACTTTTTTTAAAACAATGAATTACCAAATTTGAAACAGCTGGATATACTTTTTAACTTGGAAGAGCTTCCATTCTGTCAATCAGGAGTACTTATGTCATTAGACACTTATTGGCTCTTGCTACAGTAATTAAGTCCAGTAAGTCTCTGTGAGTCAGGGCAGCTCACTAAATTCAATGGTATTGCCAACCTCTCTTCCACATTAACCTCTTTGCTCTTTCTGCCCTAATTTCCTTCACCACTTCTCCATTTCCTCCTTTTTCCTTTCCTTCTTGTCTTTCTTTCCTGATCAGTAATACTTCTTGGCAGCCTGATTATAGAACTTCTTCCACCATTGAGTCTCAAATAAATGGTGCACAAAATCAATAAGAAAGCACTGTAGGTCTCCAGATTTGGCTTTTAAAAAAGCCTGAAAAGTTATATCCAGCTCTTGTGATCACTCTACCAGGAAGAGCAGCTTCTGCAGGCACGATCTACCTTGATGGTGCTGAATTTGAATAGTTATAGCTAAATCTTTGTCTTAAAATTCTTTGAACCATCTGAACATACTAATGCAATACAAACTATTCCAGATTTTACAACAATGTACTTCATCATTCAAAGAGAGCTCAAGAGGAAAGATTTCAAAAGAATACCTAAAGAAAAAATGCTCAGAATATGTGAAAGACTAATAAATTTGCCTGTCCCATGATGCAGCACAGCAGCTTTTTATCATGGCATACAGATTCAGTGCAATACATAAAGGCATCATTTGCATTGAGAGAGCAGGGCAAATCAAATGCATTAATGCCAAATGATAGTCATTGTAGACATTGTAGAACAAAATAGGTGAACTCACTGGACATCAGCTGTATGATCCAAATCTGGAAGAGACAAATGAAAGGAATGCTGTGATCATCACAACAGTAGAATATTTGGGTTAAAGACTAATTACTCAGCGATCTCAGAACATTGAACACATCAGCAACTCACTCAGAACACAAGTTTACACAAGACACTCAAAGTCTTTGGCACGAAAGAAAAGAATTGTGTGGGATCATATCACTAAAAGGATAGACATTAAACACTAGAGCATAATAATTACCTGGTAAAGCATACATCACATATAGGGAGATTTACTCAGAACTGGAATCAGAATTCAGCTGAAAATAAGGGACTACTCATGTGAAGATGATTGCTGAGTTTGTACTGACCCTGAATCAGTAATTCATACATAATGTAATTAGGGATGAAGTGAATCAAGACATCCTTTGACTTCATATTGTTGAGTATTTCATATTTATCAGATGTGGGGAAATAAATAAGAACATCTGCTCAAGATTCAAAGCAGAGTACAATAACAGTGTCACAATTTCCTGGATATATCTTAACGTTTTGAGATCTCATCTTTACTGTGATGATGCTCCAGCACAAAGATGGTTAAAGTTCAGTAGTATTGGGAAATGCAAAAGTTGATGCAAGTTGAAAGGCAGAACTGGAAAACAAAGTTACACTTCTTCTTCATAATGGACATGGTGTTCTGTACCAAATATATTCTGCTTTGAACCCAGGCTTCCATAATATTGATATATGATGTTCCATATGTTGGGTAAAACATAAAAGTAATGACTTGCTTCTACTACACTTCTTGTTCACATGTCAGTAATATAATTACAGAACTGAAGAAGGATGAAAGTTCTTTCTTGGCATCTATTTTTTTAATAAATCTGAATTACACAGGATTTACACAAATTGGGTTGAACAATCAACTTACAAACTAAGTAACTTGCAAGTAGTGAAAAAAAAAAGTGTACATAAAAACTCAAAAAGAAGTCAGGCATTATTTTTCTGCTCAAAACAAGAATCTCTAGAAAAGTAGCAGTGATTGACTTTGAAAGATTTGGAATAAGTATTGAACCTTGCTTGATCTGCTGGAGTACCTGCAGAAAAAAATGCAGTAGTCATGTACAAAATTAGATACCATTTATGAACAAAGGTACCTATGTTCTTGTTAGTACTTGTTTGCTGAATGTGAATGGCATGAGAATATACTCCAGTTCTTTCTCAGAATTGCAAGCTTATAGTGAGCAGTGCCCCATGAAAAGAGTGTGAACCTGGAAAAATAAAATAGCTTCTCAAGGACAGTCTGTTTTTAATAGCCTCATGCAATGACACCTGCAGGACAGTTTAAAATAACATACCAGCAATATGAGATTGTCTCTACAAATTTCATGTTATTGTCAGCAATTTTTATGCCCAAAAGTCTTATCTTCTTGCTTCTGGGGGTGAGACCTCATAAGTACTCTAACTACATATCATACCAAAAGGTATTGAGCACCTATTTTCCCATATTTTATTTGCAGTTCTGGAGCAGTTTATATATTTTTCTTGGATGAGACAGCAGAATAGAAATCTACTGCATATACATGGCTGACAGACTGCATTATAATACATGCAAAATACACAGTTCATAAGCCTAAGCTCCATCTCAACAGACTGTTAAGAGAAATCTTACATTCATACTTGACTGGAGGGATTTCAAGATCTTCTTTGTTGAAAATCTTCATGCTTCCACACTGTTCACATTTGTATTGGTTGGCTGCATGTATTCAGGCAGTCAAGTTCTCTGCAAAATCAGAATGATAGGGAAGTCATTCTTGCAGTCATTGTTAGGCCTAACTTAAGACAGAACTAACTTGCAGTGGCAGTGGCTATGCGCATGAAACCATCTTAATTGAGTGAAACTAATCATATCATTTGGTTCTTTGGTGCACATTGAAGCACATGCACATTGAAGGTGATGGAGCTGCTTTTAGGGAATATTTTTTCAACTTGGCACATTTCCACTGGGAAAGCAAAAACAAAACAACATACATGAAATTTAAAAAACAGAAAATAACATTCCAGACAAAAATGCAAAAATTATATGAATATGAAAAAAACGTCTGCAATAGTCCCTCTTTGTTTGATTACCCTGATTCTCTTTCTAATAGTCTATTACAAATTCTAAAAAATTGTGTACACTTTATCATTTGAAGAATATGAAGAAAACAAAGAAAATCCCTGTAAGCTCTGGGATTTACCAAATCACTTGGTTCCATACATCCATATTCAATAACCTCCCAGCATGTTGGTGGTGAGTAAGGTTCAGATTCCCAGTCCCTCACTGATGCCATCTTGTTGCACTTTCAGAATGTTTTCTCTTCTGCAGCTTCCACATATACAGTGGGCACATCATTTCATTTTTTTCCCCTTTCTTCCCAAACCCTGTAATACATCTTTTTTCAGGAGTCCAGTACATGATGATAAGCTGCATGGACTGATCTCTGGGCTAAAAAGAAAGAAATCAACTGGAGTCAGTAGATTTTCACCCTGTTTAGAGTAGCCAAAAAGTGCTGGAGTTTAAGTTAAACCCACTGCTCACTTCATCTTTACAATTTTCCCTAAGTAACTTAGGCTGGGCAAATTAGCCACCACCCATGAGTTCCTTCAGATTAAGCATGGCTAGCACATTCTATATCATCAGCAAAGCCTAGAAAGTGTCAATCACACCATTTTATTCACAAGATTGGAATCCAATGGAATTAGTAGGTTTTTTCTCAGGGGCTGTTCTGAAGTTAACAACAGACTCTGTGCCTTACATTGTACACTGACAGATGCTTATGTACAGAATCTTTATCTCATCAGTGCTTTATAGGAGACATTACTTTACAAACTGCAACCAAAATAACTTCTTCACACAGTGAATAAAAAAGGCAATTTATGATGCACAGCTGACATAATACAGTTTTGCAGTAGTTTGATTCCTTTTTCCTTCTTCCTAATCTGGCCCGATTTGATTTAACCAGGAGCTGCCAATCTTTCAGGAATAAAAATACAGATGGTCACCTTTCTTCATGGTAAATAGCATTTCTTGCTGCTCAAAACTAAAATGCTAAGGTTTTCAGTGCTACTGACATGGCAAGTTTTCTACAACCACACTCACCACCAGTATCAATTTCATTCAAGTGGAGTGGCACAGAAGAAAAAACGTCACCTTGTGTGATGCGAACTTACAAAATAAAAAAAATTCCCACTAACAAAAATAATAGAATTGGAATGTGAATCATTATTTTCAGCAATTTCTCATCAAAGAATGAATGCCAAAGTAAAACCTCTATGTCAGTATTGAAATAATAATAATAGCAAGGAAGTAAAAAAAAATTGTTGTCTGGAGGACAGTTTTCCCTATTTCCGATTCTTTCTAGTTGCCATTCAATAGAGGGGGACATCTGAGTCACAGTCCCATGGGAGAGAGCAGAAACCAATGAAAGGACAGGTGATGCCTGTCCTTTCGTAAGACAGTAAGTCATCAATGAAAGGAACACAGGCATGACAACTCAGCGTGAGATTTTCCGCCAGCCATAATGATTCCGATCAGAGGGGAAAATCATAATTTTTTTCAAAGGTAAGGGGGCGATGAAGAGACACAGAAGTCGGAAGTATTTCTTCTTTTTTTTTTTAACTTCAGCAATGCGTCTTCGAGAGGGGGAAAAAAAATTACCTTATTTATCCTAAAGCTATTGTACTCCATCTCTTATTCCTGGAAACCAGGATTAGGCAAGTCAGAATGGCTTAGAGGACTGGAGAATGCATCTGATTAATGAGAGCTATAAATAAAGACGCTCCAGTCGAACAAAAAATTTTCTGAGCTCCAAGAGCCAATTAATGAACAGACGATTAAACCGGGACTATTTCAACCCTGGGTTGTCACCATGTATTTTCCATGGGCTTGATCCCGGGCTAAAGTAGTTCAGGTTTTGCCCCACATACACCAATCGACCCTAAGAAGTTTCCGCTGGTACTAATTGCCTTGTCCACATTAGGGAGAGCACCAGATTATTAACTTCCGCATAAGCAAGATTTATGAATGGAAGGAAACGTGGCATTTGCAGTCTAGATAATCATGTTCTGGGGCTTTCAACCTTATTTCAAAGTTATCATTAAAAATGTGAAGCAGAATAGATCTGGTAAATAATAAAAAAGAAACCACTACCAATCCCAATGGAAGCAACATCCTGGTTTTTAGAACTTTCCCCCGCAGCATATCCTCCATATTTCATAACACCCATTTCGCAACTTCTTAGGCAGTAGGCAAGAGCTATAATGCCATCCTTTCTTAGACGATTCATGAGGAAATGCAAACCACCTTACGAGTAGCATGCCCAGAAATCCCAATGGGGGTTGACATATGTAAAATTGATAACCCACCCTGCATTTATGGTGAAATGTAAACATTTTGAGAATCAAACCTGTAAATTGTATTACAATGTATGACCCCCAACCCTCCCCCTCCCTTCCGCACGCCAGTGCATCTTACACATGTGCGTAGTTCTGTCCCGCCTTGTCTCCCTACCTTTAGCACCCTAGTCCTAGTGTATGGAAAAGCTTCCCCGTTTCTATTCTTGCCTACTTGTGTCTGACTGGGTTGGGTATTGGTCTCAGAGGGTGATGCCCTTTCTTTAAAAATAAAAAAGGGAGCAGTCCCTTCTTTTTTTGGAATTAGGAGATCTCAGTGCGAAACGGGTGGAACTGAGTACTTTTGACAGCTTGACCAGGACCAGAACCAAAGGCTTACTATTGGATTAGGGAATGTCAAGAGCGAAGTTTCAAATACATGCCCCTCTACCACTCAGTACCACGTTGATGGTCATGATGGAATCCTCATCGCTTGGGAATTGTGATACTCTTCAGCAATTAAAAAAAGAAACAGAAACCTAAACAATACAATACTTCAAGGTGTAAAAAGTACCTCTGTGACATCAAGAAGACTTCACTGTCAGCAGTCCCTGAGGGACTGCTGACAGTCTCACAAAATGTACACTCC